CCTGGGGAGTCCCTAGAGGTTTTGAGGTGGGATTGGGGAAGGGAGAGGCCTCAGCTGGGTATAATGCCACAGAGTCCACCTTCTAAAGCAGTCATTTTCTCCAGGGAGACAGATCTCTGCTGCCTTGAGTTCAGTTGTAAGTCTGGGGGTGGGGGGTTTCCTTCAGGCCCCATTTAGAGGTTGCCAAGCCTAGGCCTGCCAGCCCTTTAGGGTTGCCAGGTTCCCCCCCTGGCCACCGACAGGGGATTCTGGATAAGGTTGCCAGGTCCAGGCTGGGAAACTCCTGGAGATTTGCGGGAGGAGCCTGGGGAGGACAGGGACCTCAGTGGGGTACAATGTCACAGAGTCCACCCTCCAAAGCATCCATTTTCTCCATGGGAAGTTATCTTTGTAGTCTGGAAATGAGCACGAATTACAGGGGATCCCCAGGTCCCACCTGGAGGCTGGCATCCCTCAGCAGCACCCTCTGGGTGACTTGATACCACCTGATTTGCATGACTCAAGTAGGCCCAGCTGCTTGCTACTGTTCATCAGCAGCCATCAGTTAGAGCTTCAGATTAGGGTTTGCAAGACCCAGGTTCAGATCCCTATCTTGCAGTGGAAGCTAACTGGGTTATTTTGGACCAGTCACATACATTCAGCCTAGCCAACCTCACAGGGTTGTTGTGCAGATAAAAAGGAGGAGAGAATAATGTAAGCTGCTTTGGTCCCCACTGTGGAGAAAGACTGTAATTTTTCTAGGTAGAGGCTGTGGGGGAGGGGTGTGGAGATGGAAAGTTGCAGACAGAGAGGCAGATAAAGGTAGGTTGGCTGTTGGGTGGGAAGGAAATTGTGTTGCCAACTCCAGGTTGGGAAATTCCTGGACATTTGTGGGGTGGAGCCTGGGGAGGGTGGGATTGGAGGAGGGAAGGAACTACAGATCAGTATAATGCCATAGCTGGAGGAGAAAAAGAAAAGGGGGGCAGAAGGGAGAAAGAGTATGAGAGAGGTAGAGGGAGACAGCAGGAGGAAGCAAAGATGTGAGGAATAGGATAACCATTCCGCAAGTTTCTTGCGGGTCTCCACTTGTTTAAATATAACATTGAATCTTGACGAATCTTAATGGCACATTGAAGAAATGGAACAACCTTCTCAGTTATGTCAGGAAAAACATCATTCAAAATATATTGTGCCTTAATATGATCAGACAATCCCATTTTATTTTCAAAAATAGGGTCAAGATATTTAAAATGAGGAGCTGCGGTGGCTCAAGTGGTTAAGACGCTGAACTGCAGGCTGTGGAAGGTCAGTAGTTCAGCAGTTCGAGACCCGGGTTGCCGCATGACGGAGTGAGCTCCTGTCTCTAGTTCCAGCTCCTGCCAACCTAGCAGTTCGAAAGCAAGAAATTGCAAGTAGATAAATAGGGACCACTTTGGTGGGAAGGTAACAGCGTTCCGTGCTCCTTGGTGTTTAGTCATGCCGGCCACATGACCACGGAAACGTCTTCGGACAGCGCTGGCTCTTCGGCTTTGAAACGGAGATGAGCACCGCAACCCTAGAGTCGGACTTGACTGGCTTTCGAGCAAGGGAACCTTTACCTTTACTTAAAATGAATGTTTGCATAAAAAGGGCAACAAAAGAAGATATGTGAGATTGTGTCAATACATTTTAACTTACTGCTTTTGAGTGATCTTTGTATACTTATGTTTTTATTATATATGATGCCGCAGGCTAAATATCAAGCATGTGCATTAACTGAGGGAGATTATTGTTTAAAATAAGTAACATTTTATCTTGTGTTTTTCCTACCCTTTTCTAGACAAAATGAGACAGTAATTCCTAGCGAGTTGCCCTTAGTCCAGGAACTGACGTCCACTCTACGGGAATGGGCAGTTATCTGGCATCAGCTCTATGTGGTGAGCAGTGACCCTCTTCTCTTGTTTTGACCTTTGCTTATGGAGAAGCAACATCATACCTGGAATATTTAGACAAACGTACTTGGCAGTGGTTCAGACAAGCTCGCAAGCTGTTTGTCACACAGTGCATTCTGAGAATGAACCTGATTGGTTTTTTCTGACATAGGTAGGGAGAGGGCTGTGATAGGAAGGGTCTCCAAGCCAAAGGTGGAATGGCCCTCCCAGTTAACTATGAAATGCCCAAGGTTATGCCTGGTGCTGCTCATTTACCTTTTAAGGTATGGGATGAGTAGGTGGAGCAAGTTATTATTTTTATTTATTTATTTATTTATTTATTTATTTATTTATTTATTTATTTTTTATCCCGTTTATTTATTTATTTATTTATTT